CATACTCCCTCAGGTTGTGAAAGCTATCTACAGTACATGTCATAGCAAGGACTTTTACCTCACTCACATATCATGCATTTGAAATGCTTTGGTTTTTAACTGGTCATTGGAAGATGGAAATGGGCTTCATTTGTATGTCTGATTGTTTCTGTGAAGAAAGCCCAGAGGGCTTCTGTATTCGCCTTCAGTATCTACTTTGACCATTTACTTGTTTGATTCTGCCATATACTTTTTGTTCTCTGGAATATTTCATTCTTTCTCAGTAAATAAATATTTTATCAGAACAGATAGGTAAAGGTAAAGGTTCCCCTTGACAATTTTTGTCCAGTCGTGTCTGACTCTAGGGGGCGGCGCTCATCCCGCTCTTCAAGCCATAGAGCCAGCGTTTGTCCGAAGACAATCTTCCATGGTCACATGGCCAGTGTGATTTAGACACGGAACGCTGTTTACCTTCCCCCCGAGATGGTACCTATTTATCTACTCGCATTTGCATGCTTTCGAACCGCTAGGTTGGCAGGAGCTGGGACAAGCAACGGGCGCTCACTCCGTCGCATGGATTCGATCTTACGACTGCTTGGTCTTCTGGACCCTGCAGCACAGGCTTCTGCGGTTTAGCCCACAGCGCCACCACGTCCCTTATCAGAACAGATATATATTGTATATACAAGGATATATACAAGGCTTAGGAAGTAATTCATTCTACATGTTACAGAATTCACCCAGCTATTACAGAGAAATAATTTTAAAACCCACATAATTCTGCTTCTAGTCCCTACCCCACTGCCAAATTGGTTTTTCAGCTTGAATTCCCTGGACTGTGCCCCGTCAGCTGTTCCACAATGCCGTAAGCAGCAGGAAGCTAGCAGTATGTAAACATTACTCTTGCCCCCTTCTTAAGCATGGTTTAATAAGTCCAAATCCACAGGATGACCCTAACAGTGTCGAGTGCTAGAAGAATCCTCTATGAGCCCTCTGAACAAACCACATGTAATCCCCTCTCCTTGATGCTATTTGTATCCCCTCCTGCCACCTCCCACAAAGATAGATTAAAATCTGGCCAGCGCATTTCTTCCCTCCTGCCAACCTCAAGCTGGCAACAGGAGCAAAGAAGTCATAATTTTGACTAGAAATCCAGCTTTAGTTTCCACGCCTTGGCATAACCTCCTTGCCTTTGGAAACTTGACTTTCAGTATGGGGAGAAGGTAGAACACGTTTCTACCCCCAAGAATGTGAAGCGATGCTGGAAAGTGGGCAATGCCTGGCAAAATCTTAGAAATTAGATAAATTGTAGAACTGAGATTTTGCAGCAGTGAAAGGTAAGCGGTTCAGTATCCTATGTCCTGTCCCTTGATTACAAGAAAAAGAATAAATTATACAAACTAAATATCATTCAAAAACTTCATTTGCATAATTTAGAAAACAATCTATAACAGTATTATTGGTTTAATTATACTTAGGGTTTAATAGTATTATTAAATGTGAAACCTGTACTAATCTCGTCTCAATTCTGAATAAAGGCAGAAGTACAGCTAAGGATTTCCTAGATGCAATGCTGAGCATGCTGTGAAATAGGTTGTTGACCAGTCATGGGTTTCTTATGTAGAGGAAGGCCACCCACTGACATTGATTCTTGGGAGTTCTCTTGGGTCTACCATGTTGGGAGACAAAATATGTTTCATCAAGGAATTAGTCCAGTTATCAGGAACTTGATAGGGATTCCACAACTCTCATTAGCCCAGCTAGCATGGGCAATGGTCTGGGATTACCAAAATCTCCCCAATCTTGAATTGGACAATAGTAAATCTCTCCTTTTAAATAAAGCATAGGAAAAAGGCTGTCTGTTGTTCCACAAAAATTCATTGCCAAATTGACACTGAAGTCTGCCATCCTCTAACCATTCAATCAAGACTACATGCGTCTCTGCTCTGTATGTGTTAACATCTTCTTTAAGTTCCCAGAATATATATTCTAATGTTTGGACTGCCAATTAATATCTAAGTGAAGAAGCCTTAGCAAAGGTGTGATAATAGTATAAAGATACTTACCAATCACTGTATACACAACATGATTTCGGTAACACGTGCCTATTAGTCTGAGGATTGCTAGCTCAGATTTGGGGGAGTTGACAAATACAAGTTGACAATGAAAGGACTGGATATCCCCAGTAATTTAGAATTCACCCAACAAATAGACTAATGGCATACAATATGCTTCTACTACCGATCAGAATTCACTGCATTTAAGTAACACATATTTCAAATCAAGACATGTTCGCATTGAAAAGACTTTGCATTGTTTTTTCCAGCACCAGTTTCCACCACCTTTGTTTGCTTAAGCTTGCAGCAGAATATAATGGTGATCTTTGTTATGTAGGTGCTGCTCTGTGGAGATATAAAACCTGTATATTGTTTGAATCTGGCCTGAGCTATTACTTAACAAAATAAATAAAACTGTGTCAGTAAAGTGACCTTAGCTACTCCTAAGCAATACCTGGGTGGGAAACCACAGAGGGCAGTTCTAGCTCCAGAATTAGGGAGGACAGTGGAAAAGTCCCCTCAACTTTAAAGATGTCAAAAGCACAAACTTGGAAGCTTCTCATGCTTTCATTTGGGCTCCTTGGGTGCTTTCTAGAGAATGATGATGAGGTAAACATGTTCCTCCTTTCATCTGAGGAACATGTTTACCTCATCATCATTAAACACAAAACTTGCAAGTCATTGAGGTATGAAAAGCTCCTGCTGTAACAATTTAGTGTCCTTCGGAATTTAAGGAACTCCTTCTTCTAATGATGGATTTCCTTTATTGTATCCTTCTGACCCTCTGTTTTGTCTTCTCCAGTCTGACTAGCAGCAGTTCTGAGAATCATCTTCCCAGGACCTGTCCCCCCCCCCACACACAAACACACACTTAAGTGGGAAAGTTGGCTGAATCCATGAGCAAAATGTGTGCTCTACTATCAAGCCACAGTCCTTCCTCTAAACCAGAGCAAAGGAATTTTTTTTTCTTATTAGATGACAGTTCTTGGAATCCCAGAGCTTACATGGCAGTTGTAGTGGAAGGAGGCAAATTTTCCAAGTTCTGGTCTGAACTCCTTGGAGGAAGTCTGTATCAAACACAGCAAAGAAATAACAGATTCCATAGACAATCATTTCCCCTTTTATACGAATAAAAGTTTTATTGAATTTTTTTAGACAATTAGAAAGAACAAAGAAAGAGGAGAGCGAACAGTCTCATGAACAGTAGAACCAGAAAGAGCTTTCTGAACACTGGAGTATAAGCTGCCGTGGGCAGCATCCCTTTAAATGTCTCTTACATTTCTTGTTGTTATAAAAGCGGAAGGAGTGTGTGTGTGAGTGAGTGAGTGAGAGAGAGTGTGTGTGTTATTTCCCCCTCTGTTTCTGCATTACTTAGAAGCCGCTCTTCCACACCTCTAAACCCCCAGGTACTGAAAGGAGAAATAGGCAGTGAGCAAATGAACAGAGATACTGCTCCCTACAAAAGGTGTAGATCAGAGGTGTGAATCTTTTGTTTTCAGCCTACAACTTCTAGAATTCCCCAGGTAGATGTGCTGCCACAGGGAATTCTGGGAGCTATAGTCTTAAAAACCGAACAAATTTGCACAGCTCTAGTGTAGAAGAAATACAGCAGCCATCTGTCCGCTTGGTGTGCTCAGAAATCAATGGCGCAAGTTAGGGATGTGATAATGGAGGGTGTGAGCCTGGATCAGTAATTTTTTTTGTACCACAACTCCCAGAATCCTCCTGCCAGCACTGCCTGCAGCCATGGGCCATTCTGCCTGGGGGATTCAGGTGAACTGTGTTCCAAAAAAAGTGACTTTCCCAACCTCTAGGAGGAGGGGGGGGAAAGGAGAGCATCTTGTTGTTTCTTTTCAAAGCAAAGAAGGCACAGAATCTCAGCTAAGCTTCAAATCCAGTGCAACCTGAAGGGCCCTCTCCACAGTAGTGGTGTAAGAGGGCATAGAAGGTGCAATGTCCAGGCAAGGAGCTCTCCTAACTAAGGGCCTTTGTGCCCATTTGGAGGAAATGTCCAGTCAGGATGAGGCCGAGTAGAAGCGGCAGAGTAGTAGAGATTTATCTCTAGGAACCCCTTTTCCAGTGCATGTTGGACGGGAGGAGGAGGGAGCCCATGAAACACGTTGCCCCCTTTCTTAGTGCTGGGGAAGGACATCTTTTATCAGTGCAGAGAAGGAAATCCTGTTAAAGAGCTTCCGAGAAGAGTGTTTTTTCCCTTTAAGGAGACCAGAGTGTCAGCATTACAAATGAGGCAGGTATGGATGGCAGGACTCGGCAAGACATCCTTTGGCTCTGCCTCCTCCGAGGTATTAGGATAGTGGTCCTCCCCCACTGCTCCAGGTCCTCTCTTCTGGGGCAGGAAAGACCTTCGGTTTGTCGTTTTGTGTTTTGTTTCATGATCCCCAGATTCGAGTTAAGGCTATTGAAATTGCAAAAGTGAAACCTGTCAAGCTGTGCGAGGCAGATGAAATGGGAGCTAGTGCTGGCCCCACAGCAAGAAAAGGAAAGGAGGCCAGGCATAGCACCTTTTTGCTGCTCCTTGCTTTCTTGCTCTCACTCTTTCCCTCCCCCAGTACTATTATTATTAATAATAATAATCATGTGCCATCAAATCAATTATGGTGTCCCTTTTCGGGGTTTTCCAGGAGGACAATACTCAGAAGTGGTTTGCCATTCCCTTCTTCTGGGAGCGCCATGGGACTGTGCAACTTGCCCAAGGCCACACAGGCTGGTCTTCTTTGCAGGAGGAACAGTGGGCATTGGAACTCCCGACCACTGGCTCCACAGCTAGAACCACTGAGCTATCAGTGGGATAGGCATCTGGCTGTGGAGTCAGAGGTTGGGAGTTCAACCCACAGTGCATCCGAGGAGACCCAGCCTTTATGACTTTGGGCTACTGCACACTCCCAGGGTACCCTTCCTCTCACCCAGAAGAAGGGAATGGTAAACCATTTTTGAGTACTCTCTCCTGAGAAGACCCTGAAAAGGGTTGCCCATTTGCTAGAATTGACTTGACAGCAAACAATTATTTCAGTACTACTAACAAGCCCCAAAAATATCCAGTAAGGGAACAGTTAAATTTTTGATGCCTCGAATGCATGAATGCTCAACAACCATCAGCTTGGCCATGCAGGCCAACCACGAGAACAGCCCTATGGGAGAAATCCTGTCATGCAATGCCAAAGTTTGGAAGCCAAGCTCTTCAAAAATGGTTTAAGCCACATGCCTGGAAAACACAGCAGCTCTTAGAAGCAATGGAGGCTCCAGCTTTCCACCCCGCAACCATTCCCTCCCCAAACTCCTCCTTCTCAACAACAGCAAGCAGCGGTAGCAGCAGCCAAGCAGCTCCTCAGGGAGCAATGCCAGTGTGACAGCAGTTTCCATGGAGGTGACAGGGAGTGCTGGAAGCATTCAAGAAGCCAATGCGCAGGGCAGGAAAAGAACATCCAGTCTGGAAAAAGGGAGAAGCAGGAGAAGGAGAGAAGGCTGGGAAGAAAGAAATAAAGAAGAAAATATAATCCTCAAGCCAATTCCCACCCCCCTCCCCAACCCTCTCTACTTTGGCTTGGTTCATGATTCTTTCTCTGCCTCCTTCCTTCGAAGCAGTTTGTCGCCACTTCTCCCCAACTTCATCCTCTTTTTCAAGCCACATGGCCGATGTACCAGCCTGAAGGCTGCTACTGTCTCCTTCCCAATTGTAAGGGAAGCCCATTCACAAACTGTAAGGCTCCGTAAAGCCATCCTTTCTTGCCATCCTCATGGTCACACCCTTGCCTTCATTTTTCACATTAGGCAGAGCTCAGAAGCCAAGTGCAGCATCATCCCCTTGTAACGTCTTGTGTGGCCCTCCCTCTGGCCTTGGCACATCCAGCTGCAGCTGAGGAGCCCCCTGAGATCATGAGGGTGCAGGAGCAAGGGAGGGACCATCATCACGCCAGTGGGTGGGATTTAGTTGACTGGGGTGGGAGAGAGCAAAGAGAAGAGGCTTGATCTCCCACTTCAGCTCATTGCAGGGAGGAAGAGTAGAGTCTCTTGTATTGACCAGGTCTTCACCTCCCACTCAGTGCAATAGGTTCTTGTTTTCCATAGAACTATGGCCACTTCCTACACCAAAGAGCCAGCCCGGCTCTGTGCTGGCACCATGACAGGCACGGCACCTATTCTCTCCAGTGTTGCCTGGCTCACAGCATAGGAGCGTGTGTGCTGGGGTCTTAGCTTCCGGCTCACCGAGCCATTACTCCTGGCCATCTCCTGTGGAGAAGGAGCCGTATTGGTTGTCACCACCAATGTCTTAGGTGGAGGGGGAGCCGGGTGGCCTCCATTGGCATAGACAGGACGGGCATTGGTGCTTCCAGAGCGGGAAAAGGATGGGCGTGCATCATTGTTGAGGCGAGTGAAGGAGTCTGTGGCATGGTTTACTTTGGGGTCATTCCAGTACCGGCTATTATAAGTGTTGGAAGAGGTGAGAGTATCATTCTCTGATGAGGAAGCATCACCGTGGAATGCTTTTGTGGATGAGGAGCATTTTGGTGGTAGATCATCCTCCCTAAAGAAACAGGAGGGACATCATTAGGATCAGATCTATGCCCTTCTTTCAACATCTGTATGCAAGTATGAGCAAAAAAACAAAACAAAACCTTCCATGCCTTTCAGTGGTGAGGTATGAAAAAAAACAAGGCTAAGGGATGCAACAACCCAAGCCACAGTGCTGTCTTGGTTTAAATGATGTCACCCCTCTGACCAAATTCAGCCCTACGTCCCCATTGTTTGCTCCTGTATCCCAAAGTCATTCTATCAAGGCTGACATGAGAGAAACACAGTGGCAACCAACGAAGAACAACAGAAATTAGCAATGCTAGTCAGACATTCCCAAGAGACTTTTGATTTTTCTTCTTAAAGGGAGATGGAAGAAATGTATTACTCTTCCCCATATAGGAAAAGAGCACATATGCACACACCACACTATTACGGAGTGTAACGTCTAGGGAAAATATGCCATTAGAGTTCAGGCCCTAAACCAATTGTCTTTGTCACACCAGTACCTCTGTAATGTAAGAATCAGGTACAAGATTTATGTATGTAACAATCTAATTCTGAATAAGGTAGAGGAGGCCTTGGCTTTGAAACTCACTTTCCCAGACATTGATTCTGGTCCTCCTGGGGTCAAAGGTTGACCCTCCTGACTTTTCCTCTCACTCCTTTCCATAACACCACTATTCGGTTTCTATGGTTTTTGTATGGGCTTTATCCATTCTGAGAGGTTGAAAGGCCTCATTTTAGGCTCACTCATTGACACTAAGAGCTTTAAGCTAAAAGACACTAGCTTTTGGGTCCCATCATTTGCTTGAAACTGCAAGAAACTAGTGTCCAAGCACTCTGAATCTCACCTTGGCCCTCAGGCAGAAAGAGGTTCTCACATCTTGAGCTATGAAATCTGACTTCTTCCTTTTGCAATCTGATCTGTGACATGCATATTTATTCATGATAATAACTGCATGCCATCATGTCAATTCTCACTTATGGTGACCCTTTCCAGGGTTTTCTAGGTAGAGACTACTCAGAAGTGGTTTACCATTCCCTTCTTCTGGAGGCACCCTGAGACTGTGCAGTTTGCCCAAGGCCACACAGGCTGGCTCTTCTTCCTGGAGGCATAGTGGGAAACCAAACTCCCAATCTCTGGTTCCGCAGCCATATGCCTAAACCCACTGAGCTCTCCAGCCAGACTGGTTACTTATCAGGAAAGGGGGAAATGGTCAGACACATGACAAACCTTATCTCATTGGGAATCTCTTCCTCCTCCTCTTCCTTGTGTTTGTTTTTCCAGTAAAACAATGTCACGGCCACCAAGAGAATGCAGATAATAAGCACAACTGCTCCGGCAGCTGCAGCTCCAGCAATCAGGCCAATGCTCCGAGGGTGGGCTGTGTGAGACACAAGAATCTGAGGCAGGAGAAGGCATGGGGCAAGTTCAAAGAATCATGGTCGGCTTTCAAAATTATATGGAGGGTCAGCGGTACTCACTAGCTAGACAGCTTCTATATGCCCTTTGATGGTGACTCCATCAGGTCAAGCTGCTTGCGGGTCTGTTTCCCAGTAATGTAAGGAAACAACATATTGTTTTGGAGTAGAACCAGAACCCTCTGCATGCCATAGATTTTTGACCCATTCAAAAGTGAGCCTAAGATTCCTGCCTAATAGCTGATTCGTACAGTGGTGCCTCGCTTAGCGAGGTTAATCCGTTCCGGATTAACCCTCGCTCAGCGAATCCATCGCTAAGTGAAACAAAAAAGCCCATAGGAACGTATTAAAACTGATTTAATACGTTCCTATGGACTTAAAACTCACCGTTGTGCGAGTTTCCTCCATTGCGATGGCCATTTTGGATGCCTCGTTAGCGAGGCAAAACAGCGGTCGCCATTTTGTTTTAGCGGCGGCCATTTTGGAACCGCCGATCAGCTGTTCGCTATGCTTTGATCGCGTCCGCGCGATCATCGCATAGCGAAAAAAGCCCATAGGGGCCATCGCTGAGCGAACGCTCCAGCGATGGCCTGGGACCCTTCGTTATGCAGTTTCATTGCATAGCGAAGCGTTCGCTATGCGAGGCACCACTGTATTTCTTTATATAGCCGTCAATGCACTGGCTGTTCAGAGCATGGCAACACAGCAGCCTAGTACAGCTCAGGGACATCTCTGAGAGGCTGCCTCATACAGAATCATACAATTGTAAAGTTAGAAGAAACCTCAACAATCACTGGGTCCAACCTTTGATGAAGCGAGAAGTCTATAGTTAAATTATTGCTGGCAAGCAGCTCTCTAACTTCAATTTTAAAAGCTTTGCCACCCTCTGAGGACATCCTTTCCATGGTCAGGCACTTCTTAACATCAGGGAGTTCTTCCTAATGCTTAGGCCAAATCTCCTTTCTCATCAATTGAATCTGTTGTTTCTAGCCTTACTCTCAGAAAACAGGTGCTGGATGTGACAGAGAGGTTGCCAAGATGCATCAAGCTCACTGGCAACCACCCCTCCTTCTGATCCATGTGAGACCAAATAATATACTCTGGAGGTCTTAGCAGAAAGGGGGCATTGCTAATATTTTCTCAACTGTGCATGTCTGAAGGCCTTGAGAAATGCATATCTCACAGTGGGCTCCAAAAGCCATGCTCTCTGGAAAGTTTTGGCAAAGTTGAACTGAAACATTCCTTTCAGGCTCACACAGAAAGGCCCAGCATGGCTAAACCCTGTGACAGATCAGAGCCCTTAAAGGGGCAATACAAGAGATCAATCATTTCCCCTCTTGAAAATTTCTTATCCAAAGATGGGTGATTTTAATTTTCTGCCACCCTGATACAACAGCTCACACCATAATCCTGGATTTCTTATGCAGTACAAGGGGAGAGGCATATAGATGTTCCTCTCTCCACGGCTCATAACAGCTCTGAAATGGTAATTTGGCTCAGGGTCATAATACAGGGGGGTGAGGAAAAAAGACACACACCCCAATTCCAAATCCAAACTACTGTCCAGGTATCTTCAGGAAAATGAAATTATTTGGTGCAATGAACCATGGCATCAGAAGATGAGTGCAAAACGAAGGATCATATGGGGTGATCTCCCATGCAACATTTACTTTGGCCTTTGATGCAAGGAGGAAAAACATGCAACCCTTGGTACACTCAAGACCTCTGTCTAATTTTAGAGTATTTACAAATCATGGTACAAAGCAGCAGACTGTTATTTTTCAACTATCAAGAAATTTCACGTCATCCTCACTGCCCTTGGCTGGTAATATACTTGTAGTTCTTTTTACAATCAGCTGTTCAAACATATCGTTTCTTCCAACTCCCAATATTTGCATCTCAAAATCTGAATTTTGTGGGGTTAGCAGGCTTAGTTATTATTGCAGTTTCCCACACAGACTTTTGAAAAGTTGGTTCCTGGAGTCCCTGAGCTACCAGTTCTGATGCAGAGAAGTTCCATCTACCCCACGAGGCATACGTCTGTCTCCCCTATATCTTCAGAGTCTAAAAAGAGACCTGTTGAGCGTGCTCATATTTGGAAGAGTAAACCCCGGGAGAGGGTTATCTGAGGTCTCTTAACTGCAAACAAGATCAGTGAGAGCGCATCTCTAACATTACAGCAGAGATGGTGACAACAGCAGCAAATCCCTTATTCTTCTGTATTTCCCATGCCTTTGTACTGAATGAAATAGCTTACTGCGGAGGGAGGAGGAGGTGACGATATATTGTTCATGGTGGAAACAACAAGATACCATTTGCATCCTAAATTTATCTTTGACCAAAAATTTTAAAAAGTGGAATGAACTGTACAAGACAGACTGCTGTAATTTCTTTGTCGTAATAGACTTACGTGCAATCACTTGGACTTCAAGAGAGCAGGTGCTGCTTCCAATAACATTAGAAGCCACACACTGGTAACGTCCTGATGACACAGTGCTAATATTGCGTAGGACGACTGTACCCTGAACTTGGTCTAGGTGAAAGAGAGAGGAAAAAAACAATTGGAATTAAATGAGGAGGGGGGGCAGCCATTCCACCACAACTTTGAAAAGGCAAATCCAGCAAATCGTAAATTCTACTGCAAGACTCTTAAGAGATAAATTAGAAAATAACATTCAGATGAAAGCATCAGATGCAGACAAGATTAGGGTTTAAGGAGCTTACACTGGACATTTTCTTCTTAAAGATTATTATTTTTTATGGATGTGAAAGCTCAGGAACAAGTGAACAAGGGCAAGGAAACTAGCAAGGGTCATGAACAACCTAACTGTCATTCTAACTCTAGCACAGTTACAAACTACTCAGTTGGGGACGTGGAAGACTAGAGCACATTAAGCTACTATTAAAATGTAATTTATTAAATTTATAGTCCTAAGTCCCCCCCAAACAAAAACAACTATTTTTATATCTGCCCAAACTAACTCTGTGCTTTCCAATTTCTCAAAAGTAACTAAAATTGTAACTTTTAAGCTATATTTAATAGAAAAACAAGCAAATGATACCTGCTGCTGGTTTGTGACGCATCACCACTACTCAGCCCTTAGGTCATCTGGCATTCCTCCACAACTATTTTAGGAGGCCACCTCCCTCATTATTTATTTTTTAAATAAGTAGTTAAAAAACAGAACACAGTTGCATTACAAAAGGACTAACTTTATCCCTTATTAATTTAGTTTAGAGTACTGTGGTTTATATGAGCATTGAACGGAGGATTGGAATCGATGGACTTATAGACCCTTTCCAAATCAGTTATTCTATGATTCTATGAGTCAACAACTCTATATAAAAATGTAAGATAATAATAATATTCGCGAAGGCTTTCCTGGCCGGGATCTAATGGTTGTTATGGGTTTTCCGGGGCTCTTTGGCCGTGTTCTGAAGGTTGTTTTTCCTAACGTTTCACCAGTCTCTGTGGCCGGCATCTTCAGAGGACAGCACTCTGTGCTCTGGTGTAGTTGGCTTTGGGAGTGCAGTATTATAGCTCATTATTTCCAAGCTCTAGAACATTCGTCATTCTACACAAGTTCCTTGTTCTTCCACCACTAGTTAATAAAGGGGGATTACAAACAATGATCCCCTTCATGGATCACTTCCTTGCTGTGGCGAAGGGGCTTGAGTAATTCAAAGAAGCTATGGGCTATGCCATGCAGGGCTACCCAAGATGGGCAGACCATAGTGGAGAGTTCTGACTAAACACAATCCACCTGGAGCAGGAAATGGCAAGCCACTCCAGTATCCCTGCCAATAAAACTCCATGGACAGAAACAAAAGGCTAAAAGACATGATGCTGGAAGATGAGCCCCTCAGGTCGGAAGGTGTCCAGCATGCTACTCAGGAAGAGCAGAAGACAAGTACAAGTAGCTCCAGAGCTAATGAAGTGGATAGGCCAAAGCCGAAAGGACGCTCAGCTGCGGAAGTGCCTGGAAGTGAAAGGAAAGTCCAAAGCTCTATAAAGTCAGCAAAAACAAGACCTGGAGCTGATTGTGGTTCTGATCATCAGCTTCTCATAGCAAAATTCAAACTTAAACTGGAGAAAGTAAGAAAAATCACTGGACTAGTCAGGTATAATCTAAACCACATCCCTTATGAAGACACAGTGGAAATGAAAAACAGATTTAAGGAACTAGATTTGGTCGACAGAGTGCCCGAAGAACAATGGATAGAGGCTCATAACATTGCACTGAAGGCAGCAACAAAACCCATCCCAAAGAAAAGGAAATGCAAGAAAGCAAAGTGGCTGTCCAATGAAGCCTTACAAATAGCAGAGAAGAGAAGGGAAACAAAATGCAAGGGAGATAGGGAAAGTTACAGAAAATG